GGGGGGGGGGGGGGGGGGGGGGGGGGGGGGGGGGGGGGGGGGGGGGCTTCGACCTGAAAGATCAGGGGTTAGGATTTGCACCCGATCGAAAGAAACCTTGCTATCGCAAGAGTAACTCCAGCTAGCTTCGCTAGCTTTCGTGATTTGAGTGGTGTCTTCAGCGGTGTGTCTGACGCAGATCATCGCGCGGCATCCCTGACAAACCTTCATGGAGCTCCGAAATCGTCACTGGGCGTCACTGGGTTGCAAAGGCCACGTGAAGGAAAAACACGTCAACCAAATAGACACAAGTAACAGATCGAACTATATTGAACTCACGGTGTTGTCCCACAGTCGCGCGTGTTGCCCCAAAAGTCCAGAACCTCATCGCCGCGCTGTGCAGGTCGTCAGTCGCGCCTGAGTCCTCCGAGGGATCGGCAGCCCAAATCGGCCCCAGAAGAGAAACATCGAGGCCTGCGCCTCTGCAGGGGGATCGTGAAAACGAGGCGTTTTACTGCCGACCCACGGCGTTTTCCGCCTGGGAGGTTGGGAAAAAAACAGATCGAGTGGGAATTTGTGGCCATTCTTTTTTACTTTGGTAGGGGTCACTCCAGTGAGGTGGCCCTTACAGGCAGGTGAAGGTTTTAATGTATATATCATTAATATGTTTAACACATGTTGTTAATGCAGGCCAGGCCTAGCCGGCATAGCCATATCAATTCACTTCCAGGGAACGGACACGTTTCGCGTGTCGATCACCTTCAGCTCGCTCGTTTCGATCGTCTCGTCGTGTGACGTCGAAACGGCGGCCCTAGGGCTCCAGTCGGACCTCCTCAGAAGGTACGACTGGACCCTCCAAACCTTCTGAGAAGGTACTTGGAGCTCTAGGGAAGGTGATATATAAGCTGAGATCGAGACAAAACATTACAAAACCTGTTCGTACTTCTATTAATGTTGGCGAAGACGTGCGGAGGATTCATTCAGAACATAGAAACACCTATACCTAGGGCTTCAACACCCTGTAAAATCGAGGAAACCGCTTCTTCCAATTTGTTGCACCCTACGAGTACTTAAAGGTTCTTGAAGCTTCTGGCACACTCATATACACAGTTCCCCTCCTTGTTGGATCCAAACATCTGTTCGGTCTCGACGGCCCCCCGCCCCGCCGTCCAACATCCGGCACCTTTCGGGAGATCGATTCCAAAATGCCGAAGGAGTCATACCAACAGGAGAAGGCCTCAAATGCGAGCGCCAACCGTAACGCGTAACGCATGACAGCGTCACCGGTGCCCAAAACGGTCTGAAGATGATGTATTTTGGTAGCTGCCATTTAGCTGTGAAAGGAACATCCTAAGCGGGCAAAGACAGAATCATCTTGGAAACCCTCTTGCAGGCAACTTGCAGCTTGCTGTGTTAGCAGGATGTAGCAGGTTGCTATGTTAGTTGGGGGGAGTCAATTTTCGGATGAATGTTCTCGCAGGCGGCGAGCACGAGAATAAGCCGAACAACACAGAGTCACTGTTGTTTTTAGGACATTGCACTGCGGCGAGCTGGCAAATGTAGAAATTGATGAGAATGTGCAAATGTTCAGGAATAAGACTCGCTGGGCTTGAATCCGTCGCTGGGAGAGACTAACTATAAGGGCGTGCCAACGTAGGCACTTTCCCGTTACCCAGAAGATCCTGTGCCCCGCAAAAAGAAACAATCTGTGACCGCGAACTCATCGAAACCCGAAAAGGAATTGGACCACTCCCCTAAAGGGCCATTCAAGGGCCATTCAACTCCCCAGCAGCTGTGGTGTTTCCGAAGGAGTACGCTGGCATGATGGGCATGCCCGTGCGTAGTGCCAATCGCGCGATGCCTTTGCGGTCCTTCATGGCCAACAGCTCCTTGTGACCTCGGAAGCGGTGACAGCCCCGCAGCTGGTGCCCGTTCAGCGGCTCGTCCGAGTGGGGCGATAAGCGAGTCCGCAGCTTGGCGGACGGCGGGGCGAAGCAGTTTTTGTGCCTCGGAAAATGGGTAAAAGATCTCCCTATAAGGCTCCATGTATGCAAACATGATTGCCTACATTCCTCAACCAAAACCACCAAAAGCAAAGCACTTGAAGTCGGGTCCAGGTAGTGAGCAATTGATTGAAGCGCTCGTATAGTAGGTCTGCCAGGCCCGGGGAGGCGCCAACATGGCGCCAACAAGAAGTCTCCCCCAGGCATCAATCGCTTGTTTTGACCCAAAGCCAAAAGAAGCAAGTTCTCGACGGTTTCAGCTCGTGGATCTGAACCTGTTTAATGATATTTTATATGATATTTTAATATGTTCAGGGGGGCCTTGAGAGACACTGAGAGATGCCTATACAGGAATCTTAGCTCAGAAACCATTCGTTTTGAAGATGCCCGCCACACCGTCAGGGACAATGCCAACACAATGTCCCTGCGCCATCGCCTTCTCGATTGACTTGCGGTCCACTGGCACCACACCATACAAGGTCATGTATCGCAACCTTTGAGCTTTGTCGGAGGTCAACAAAAGATGTCTGGTTGCACAAAGCAACTGATAGATTCAGGACTGACTCACAAGTATAGATTCAGGGTGGTGAGCCAAGTAAAGGGTGAACACATTTTTTAACACATAGTTTTGGACTTTCAGATGCTCCCAAGGATTTGGAACACATGTTACCAACCGGCTCTTTGGAATCTTTGGAGTTTGCAACCCATGCAACCCAGAATGGCCTATCAACACAACAAACTTGTCACACTCCTTCTGAATCCTTCTAGTGAATCTAGTGACCGTCAAGCTATAAGCACTCTGAGGAAAGGACCAAAGCACACCGTAAAGTTTGGAACCGCTGAATTGTCAGCTATGTATGCTCTATTATCTCTATCGTAGGGTCTGCCTTACTTTACTAGACTCTACACATTGATGAACAAAACACACACCCTTCTCCAATATGTCCTCCCCCCCAGTCTGTTAAACAAACGTGCTCTTCTCTAGGTGGAATATAGAAACATATAGAAACATGTTGTTTCCAATGATGACCACACGACAGGTTGACCCAAATTCGAAACAAACGCCTGCTCTCCCGTTCGAGGCTAAAACGATACGTACATCGAAAACCCATGACGAATCGATGACCCTATCTCTCTGAATCCTGTGACTGCTCTTCCAACTCTTGGGGTTCAAAGAGATGCACGTCCAATTCGATGAAAACAACCCCACTGATGTGGATGCCAAGGTTTTGCAAACAAAATGAAACACATTGCCCCATCCCAGGAGGGATATATATATATATATATACCCCCCAAAAAATAGGACACCTACAGGCCTCAACGCCGCCTCCGATCAACCACCCCAAACATCCAACGAGTCCGCGACCGACCTGAACCGCTCTCGCCGAAGCGACCAAGGAGTCACGAAGACCACGGAGGCCGCGGCGCCCACGAAGGGGCAACCCAAGAAGTCGTTGATGGCTGGAATGCCTCGAGCCATGCAGTGTTTACGCGGGACATCTGAATTGGATTGCACCGTGTGGGTACCCACGCGGGCTGCCGCACGGGTTGACGCGGGGCGCCCTGCACGGGTTAGTTTACAAGGGGCTGTGCACGGGGCCTCCAACTATCTTTGATAGCACGCTCATGTACATGACACTCTGGCAAGGCTGCTTGCAGCAGTGCATGGCTACAGTAAAAACCATCCACATCAATCCATCCCCAAACATGTGAGGCAATATTAATATTACTGGCACACTCCCAACATCTCCCAACAACTCCCAACGGCCAATGACGACAAGATATGTACGGCAACAACCCAACGGCCATCCTTGTTCATTCCATCAAAAGGGTTGGAATGGGTTGAATCTCCAACCCATTTGGTGCGAATCGGTGCGAGCCGGTGTAACGCTGGATGTGCGAATCGGTACACCAGTGCGATCAAATACTGGACGTGCGTGATGTCGCGCCAACATGGGAGAGTGGAGTGAGGCCATGGGAGGTTTCAGGGGAGAAATCATGGGGCGTGAAGATGAAGAGCCTGAGAATCAAACGGCTCTTTGCGGGCAAATGATGCTTTTTCCGATCTCCTTGGAGTTTTGTCGGCCCATCCGTTCAGGGCTTCTTGCTTGCGAACCTGTCCAACAGCGGCTCCGAGCGTCCCAAGTTGCACCGGTTTTCAGTTCTTCACCCCTGATGATCCCTGACGAGTGGAAAGGCTGGTCAGGTTCTGCGCTCTACATCCATGGCCAGCACTATGGCCAGCACTATGGGTAGTAGACGGCGGAGGCATCTGGCGTTCGAGACGGCATGCTCACTCACATCCACGTGAACCACAAGACCTCACCTCCGCGTGTCAAGCACAGGTCCAGGTGTGTAGAGGCGATGGTGCAACCCGACTTTCCATCTGGATGGGTCGATGGTAGAAAGAAGTGATGGCAACTTTTGAGAAATAGGTCGCAAGTCAAGATGCAACCCCGCCCCCAACCACACACACAACCTTAAGATGGACATGGTGTGCAAACCTACGCCTCTTTTTACCATTTTTTACCTCAGTTCTGAGTAGCATCCGGTCAATCGGTCGTTGCCACCTTAACCATCCTTCACACGCCCCGCTGCACCCAGCTCCGCCCGCTCCGTCGTCCCGGGTGCTCAAGAGGTTGGCCAAGGGGAAGACGCCATGGGGCGGCCCTGCCCCGATCCAGGGCTTCGTTTGGAAAGCCACGTCCGAGAAGTCGTCGCACCAAACGAAGCGGTAGGAGAAGTACTTGAACCTTCGAGCGTTGGTGTTTCGGTGTTTTGTTTGTTTCCCGCATCGGTGAAGATGCAATGAAAGGAGTTGTATAGGCGCGGCATGCTATAGAAAATAAACAGGGTGTTTTGAACATATAGAGGATCTCATTCTTGGGTCAAAAGCACCACTTCCAAATAGAGTAGAAAATCAGTTACCAGCAACCGAGTGCTGTTACCTCGATCCAACAATGATGTCCAATAACTTCTATAAAACCCAACGCTTGAAGGAATAGAATATACCGTATACCACGCAATTCAGTTCAGTGCAGTGTTCTAAATGGTGTGCAGCACTAACCGACCTTAGCTACAAAGTCAAAAGACTCCTCCTTGGAGTTTCCAATGGGAGTTATTCTAGGAGCTCGATAGATTGCAGCTTTGTCCAGTGATCTATGCAACAGATTCAGGACAAAATTGATGCCATGTAGACAAACTTGCTGCCCGCAGGGAACATCCACCCGGTTAGTTTCATCTGAAGTTCACTGTTATATAACCTCTACTAATTGCAACACATCTTTGTAGGATCGCCAAAAGAGCTTAAGTTCCCCAAGGCTCATGGCTTCGTGTAGAAATGAACTTATCGCCAACAATGTTTCTCATATTTCTGGGCGAAGTTGGTGGCCGATGTGAAAACACAAGCACATAGCCCAAGCCAAGCAAAGCTGGTGTTCGTTGGTTAGAAGGTCTGTTGAAGCCTTCAAGTTCCTTCAAGTGATACGGCCTGACGATGCCTGACGGCCTGTGCCTGTGCTTTGGACTGTGCAGGCAAAGTACTAGACTTTGTTCAGCACGTGAAGATATGGCTAGCACCGACCGGTGGCCTGGTCAAAACACAGAATTTCTGCTGAATCATGGTGAATAGGTCCAGCCTGGCACGAGGTCTGGCTTGAGATGTTATACTCTACAGTAGCTATGATTTGACAAGTGACAAGAGCTTGGTAAAGTTTGATGTGTGCAGCATCTTGTTGAAAGCCCTCCCTGGCAATGGATGTAGCGCAAGAAATGCAGACAGCACAGCGAATGCCGCCTGGAGCATACACCGAAGAACCAATGCTCTGAGCTGACAAAACCAAAAGCCGGCAACAAAAGTGTACAAACGTATATTCCGATGAGTCAGATTCAGATATTGAACGAATATGACAAAACAGTCTTTAGGAAACCTGACAGGTAACTTCCTGTCCATCGACAAAGGACACTCATTGCCTTTGGACTTCTAGGGAACTCCAAGACTAGGCTTCGTCTCTTAAAAAATTCCCTGGCGACCTCTGAAGGTTAGACGACCTATGAGGGTAGGCCATCATCTCTTGTTCTTTACATCTGTGTTAATGCTTGTAAACTGAAACCAAACAACAATAACATTAACATACATTGATCACAACTATTGCAAAAACACGATGATGTCATGTTGGGAACTGACATGCACATCTGTGAGAACACAAGATAATACATAGTTAACTTGTTTACCAGTAGCACCCGTGAGGCATAAAACACACGTATACAATGACCCCAAATGATCCCAAAAGGAATAAACACTTGAATCTACCCTTGAAGGTCAAACCTTGGGGTGGCTATTGTAAGTTTGGCTTTGCCATCATCCACCCTCCCCAAATACTCTCTCCAACCTCAGCTGCCCCAGCTCACAACCAGTTCGTTCCTGTGTTTCCAGTCACAGCGGACAAGCTGAAATAATGAAACATGGAACATGTTCAGGACACATGGAACCCAACAGCGATCCATAACAAAGTCACATGGAACCCCAGAAAACGGGAACATCTTCAGGACTACCCAACAGCCATCATGGAAGCCAACACACCGTGGCACTTTGGAACTACGACTTTCCTCTACAAATGGGCTGGTTGCCACTACCATGATTGTTGGGTCTATGGGTGCTGGACTTGGAGTTGGAGGCCGAGACTGGATGCTCCGCTCACCTTGGTTCTGCTGCGCTTCTCGCTGCTTCAAACCATCGATCACTCCATCCACCGAGTCTAGTCTTTTCATGGTCTAGGCACTCTCATAGGCCAAGTGCCCAAGAGCAGCACTGCAACGCCGCCAAAGAACATAAAGAGTGGGCCTCCCATGATAACGAAGAAGACCTCGGGACGCAACAAAACATCAACATGCGTTGAAAGGCAAAGGGACCCACGAGCGAAAAAGATCCAAACCGAGACCCTCCGAGACGCGGCAGGGTCTCCGGAACTGGCGTGCTTGCGCAAGTTTTGGGAGGGACTTGGCACCATGGGATTCCAGCAGTTCCCTTGGATCTCTCAAATTTGTCGGTGTTGCCAAATATGCTCCCCTGCGGATGAGCCTTGAACCCCAAAAACCACGTCGGGTTGGTCTTGGGTCACATGGTTGAAACCGGGTGTCAATTCTCAGGGACGGTGCGGTCCATCTTCGGGGGTTTAGCCAGAGTGTTGGATCTGTATGGAGGAGGCAATCCGTGTCTTCCTCCCAGGCGCCGCCATGACAAATAGCTCCTCTGACCAGCTCATGGAGGCCTCCGACCAAAGACGCTGATGAATTGAACAACACATGTCAAAAAGTAACTTGTACGACTAAAATCAACTCATTTATTATTGGATAGTCACCATATATCATGTGTCATAATGTGTATATATATATATTTGCACACACACACACACTAACACTACTTATTACTATTATATTGCTTGCGTCTGGTTCGGAAACACATTCTCACCATAGGCTCATCGCCGGTGCCCAAAAGTGGTGCCCCCAAGGGTCCAAGAATCGTGGCGGTCACCATGCGGCAACCATTGTCCCAAATCTAAGTCTACCAAAGCTTTTGTTGGAAACCAGAACTGACCAACTGCCACCTCTTACAGGTACATACAGGTGACATAATACAAAATCCCATGGATGTGCCAAAGCAAATCGCACCAAATCAGTGGCCTAACAATGAGCCACCCAGTTCCGTCCAAGCAGTGGCCTGGCCTGTGCTGTCAAAGACCTGGGTGGAAAACCTTCTGGGCCGGTTGCCTTCGTTAACTGCCTTGGTGTGAGAGGGCTTGAGAGAATGAGTCAAACTTCGACTGTTGTAATTATATGCTGCAATTCCCCTCCTGCCCTCAACAGGTTTCTAAAGCATCCTAAAGTTACACTAGTCGGGTAGCTATGCCTTCATGGGTGGGTTAAATGCAGGTTCAAGCATACCTACTCCTGCCCACCAAACGCCAATCTTCCGCACCATGTTCCGCTGCTCCATCTGCAAGCTACTTGATGGTCTTCCGCCGCTCCTCCAATGGTAGCTCATACAAGTCATCGGGAGCTGTGAAGGCCTGAAAGCAATGAAACTCCGCGGGCGTCCCCATGGCACACCGCGTTTTCAGGCGTTTTGACGCGAAAAGTTCTTGCATTCAGTGCCTGGAGCCAAAAGAAAGCGAAATTGCCTAAAAGCAATGGCCTCCAACCTGCTAGCGATGGCCTCCAACCTAGAAGCGGTGGTCTCCAACCTAACAGCAAAAGAAAAGGAATGGACTCGCCCAAACGCGACCCGAATCCTTCCAATCGCGTTTAGAGGGACAAGATGTAGGGTTGTTTCACGGAGCGTCTGGGTTGGGGACAAATCCTTTAACTGGCACTCAAACCGCATGTAAGTGCTGCTGTCATGCCCCAGCGTCCCTATTTTCACCCAATCCCGGGACAACCGTCACGGATTCCTACCAGGCCGGGCTCCTTCCAGTCCACCAGTCCTCTCAAGTCCAGCACCTGGGGACGACTTCATTGGATAGAGAAGTCGTTTATCATGGTTCATGTGCAAAAACCTTCACAGTCACAAGTTCTAGCAGTGTACCTGCACAATCCTGACCAACCTGAGCACTCAAAAAGACACCTAAATATCATGCACAACTACACACACATATACAATATATATATATATACACATAAAGAGAGAGAACTATATATATAAACTTGAGGCCGAGGGTAGGTGACGAAAGCTAGCAGGGGTGCATCCGGACTGGTGGGACATCAAGCGGAGTGAGGCAAATGCTCATGAGGTAAAATGTTGTGAACATGTAAGACACACAAACAGCAATGACACAGCCAACTTTCGAATTGAAGTCCCCGACAATTAAGGAAGCGTGGCTGGACTTTGCCACACTGTTCGATGCATCCGATGTGTTCACGAACCTGTGAGCTTGTTGAATCTGTTGCACCGTATCCCAAAACCTCCACGGAGGAGTTGAACCAGTCATGCCATAAGAGGTGCCCAAGAGGTGTCCCAGAGGCAAAACAAAGCT